CGCTGTGGCTATATGCCCGGCAGCCGTCAGATATACGCCGGCTGCCGGGCATATAGCCACTGTGTATTATATATATAATATTAATAAGCTGCGTACACAGCATACAATGTCATAGCCACAAGTTCCCATCTCGCTTAACACTACGTGGCGAGAGTGTCCTCCGTCGTGTAACAGTCGGAGAGCCTGGTCGGTTTAACAATGTCAATGATACGTAACATAGTCAGAGGCCCTACTACTAGTAGTACTACTACTACTACTACTACTAGTACTAGTACTACTACTACTACTACTAGTACTAGTACTAGTACTAATAATTATGATACTACACTACAGCACAGGCACTGCCACTTGGAGCGTTTCAATAAATTATAAAATATAGGCCTAAATAAATACGAGATCTATTTACTTAGTACTACCAAAGTCTTAATGTTTCTCTACTCTCTTTCACTTATTATTGCCGACAATTTCCTGTAAATGTCGTCCAAATGCTCATCTGCAACACACGCTGGCTGCTGCACACTGACACATAAATATATAGGCTTAGCAGGTAGGAAAGCGTGCTGCCAAAATTTGCTCGACGCTCGCTTGATTTCACACGAATACAACACAAATGTTCAACCATTCTACTCTATCTTCTACTTCATCACGAAATTCTCGTGTTTGCTCCCGTTGCACAGTTTATGTAAATGGCTTTCGGAATCAGGAAACACCCACCGGCGCTCTTCGTGACCTCATTTTTGCGCCGCGCTGTCTCTGCGTTTGGCACGGACGCTGCACTGGCGGCTTTGACGAGGCTCGTACGGGAGTTGGAAAGCAGCGTGGTAGTTTCCCAAAATGCAGTGCGCTGCCTATAGCTATAGCCCTGTACTTGCAGCCATTTACATAAACTGCGCAACGGGAGCGAACGCGAGAATTTCGTCAGGTTTTGTGTGATTTCGCGTGACACAGCTCGGTTACGAACACAGACAGTATGTTTTTATATAAGTGAACACTGTCCTTCAAATAGAAACAAAGATGGAGTAGAATGGTTGAATATTTGTGTTGTATTCGTGTGAAATCAAGCGAGTGCCGAGCAAATTTTGGCAGCATGCTTTCCTACCTGCTGTATATTTATAGGTCAGTGTGCACTGTGCAGCAGCTATAGCGTGCGGCAGCCAGCGTGTGCTACAACTTGCAGATGAGCATTTGGACGGCATTTACAGGAAATTGTCGGCAATAATAGGTGAAAGAGAGTAGAGAAACATTAAGACTAGTAGTAAATAGATTTCATATTTATTTAGCATTATATTTTATTGAAACGCTCCAAGTGCCTGTGATACATACCATGCAGCATGGACATCTGTGGAAACCTAAACTGGGAAGAGGCAGTCACTCATAACAAGATTTTTTGGCAGTTGATTCTGTTATGTTTCAGTATATGTTATAAATGTAATCATGTACCGTACTTGGGGGAAAACCCATCATCACCTCTAGACAAAGATGTGATGTTTGACTACAATTGAAGAAACGTATAAAAGGGGGCTTATGTCGAGCTTGCGAGCCGACTCGACTGGAAGCAACTGGCTGCAATTCACTGCGACTGCAGTGCTTAAGTTGGTCAACTGCAACGCGACTGCCTGCGACTGGCCGCCACTAGTTGCTCGGAATAGAACAGTAGGCAACTGGACGGAACTAGACGCTGCCGATCGCTTCCAGTTGCTCGAAATCCAGTTGCTTCCAGTCGAGTCGCCTCACAAGCCCGACATAAGCCCCCCTTAAGGCTTTCATTTGATGTTGTATAAGTTGCCTACATCATTGATATTATTTATGACACTGCAGCAGAGCAACTTGCAAGGTATCATTGTTCCTGGAGAGGCTGCTGAAAGTGATGAGGACGATGAACAGGAACATAGAGAAGGAGAAGATGACACAATTTCTATTGACGATACGTCCGCAAAACCCAGCACACCAACTGAATGGAGTAAACCAGGCCCTGGTTCGTTATCTATAATCTTGGCAGCAATTTATATGATAAGCTAGTAAACTCCCATGCTCTTTTCTGTCAATAGATGGCAGCATGTTACTTTGATTCACTTGTCTGTTCTTTACTCATCATCTCCTTTAATCAGGATTTTTAAAACTTATTCTCGTGAATGAAAGTTGTTAACTCTCTGAAGCTTTACAATTACCAGGAGTAGGATTGAACTTTTTCCAGGTAGCAAGCACTAATACTGCCCGAGAAAATAACAGGCAGCAAAGTTACCTAGACAGAAACATAAGAAACCCATCATAGCAGTTCCACTCCCTCCCACCCCAACCTCACTATCCTATTGCTTCTGTTCACAAGGAAGCTAGTTTTGCCTCCCATTCTTGGTTCCCCTGATTTGCTTGTTCTAAATGTAGTTATACTCATGCTTTACCCTAGTTACACATCGAATGAAGTATCGAGTGTAACATAGGGTCAAAGCTATTTGAAAAATACAACTCTGATCAACTGGCAGTTATTTCCTACATAATTGCATGTAACTTTGTGCTTTTACTTTGGTTTATTAGGAACTTCTTGGCAGCCACTATTTGC